TCTAAGGCAAAACGGCAGGAGTGGGTTCCGTGGTAAATCGGTGAGCGCCCCACAGTATCTGTACTGGTAGTGTGGGAAACTATGCGCCCTGTATGTAGTCTCATCAGCAGGAATTAATTGGATTTTTGTGCAGGACATAGGGACCCTTCTATCACGGCGACATCGCACTACTTTCCAGGGCGACTAGGTTTGGAGTTAAGCTGGTCGTGAGGGTCAAGGTTAGGACACAAGAATACTTACCCTTCCTTGAATTCAGCGCAATGACATCTGAGTCTGTTAAAATGGGCTTGTACGATATGTTAGGCCTTCAGAGGCTTTGTTTCAAGCTTTTTTGTAACAATAGTCCCTTTCTTTATTCGGGACACCCAGTGAATACCTACGTTACGGTACCCGCCTCGCCTAAGCGAACGTAGTTTCGGAGTTCATCGCAAAGTGCGTTGTAAGAAGTGAATGTCTCCGTGCATACTGGAAGACGTTTTGCGGGAAAGGGATACTCATCTCAAGTACCACTATAAACAAGCCTACTGAGAACCGGCTCGGCAGTATCTCGATGAATGTCAGCGAGCTAGATCGTGATCTGTATGAACGCCTGGGGATGTCAGACAGACTGACGGACCGCGACCATAAGACGGACTGAAGTGAAGTGGATGAAGCTTTTTCATAACACCAACTCGGTGGAGAAACAGGCAAAATTTCCGAATGCCATGACCGTGACTCTTAGCAAGTCATTGGTTGGTGTACAACTCCTAGGCCACAAATGTCGCATTCGTAATAAAAGATAAAATAGTTTGATGGCAGCTCAGTTTGAAAACGTCTTGAGCCGTACGGAAGGCCGTAGTTCCTGCCAGTACTTGGGGTTCTCCCCCGTGAGATATAGCTACCAATGCCTTCGAACAAAATCACTAAGAATCGGACATACCACGAGGACTCACCCTGATAGGCTCAAAGAATTGCGCCAAAGCAAGGGAATACTCACCATCAAACCCCACAAAATTCGGACCTCGTGTCAGTTGATAAAAGCGTTTTTGCTCCGACAACTTAATTAATCCTGGCTGATAAGAGGACAGGTAGGACAAGGACGGATGTGGGGCCAAAAGTTCAAGTAAAGGAGACTGACCGAGCATCGAAACAGCATGTTTATTGTTCAGAGCTTTCGAAGTCATACACGAATGCATCGTCAGCCATAGCAACAGAACAAGGGACAGTTATAGGGTATGTAAACCAATCATCGATCGATGTCACAAGACTGGAAGTGACTGCGCAGGACTCTGTATGTCGGCACCAGGTGGATAAATCGATTGGTTGAGTTCCCATCAGAGGCCAAGGCCTCAATCAATTGTTGGACTGGTTTGTCTTCTAAGGTTGTATGATTTGCCAAATATCTACAGTGGGACCCGATTCGCTGGCATTTCGCACCAGCTCGGAGGGTCTGCAGTTGTCTAATGATCATCACCTTTGACAAGAGAAAACCTGAAGAGGGACTCGTGACTGCAGAGATCATGATAATGCGAACACTTAATCCGCCGTCGTCGCCATGAGAAGATAGAGGAGCACCGCCTACATCGGTGGAACACGCACTGGGTAGCACAGATAGACTTCTCTGGGGGAAGGGAGGGAGGGAAGGCGGTCAGGGCATACAGTGGCCTTCCAGCACCGTGGACTCTTGCATTGGGGACTGAAGGGCTTCTGAGCGCGAATAGTAGGAGAGCAGAGTTGCATTGTCAAGGTTAGTCGTTGCTGTAAAGCACAAGCAGGTTGGACAGTGGAATGAGCACCTCTTTCCCGTATCACAAGCGGCCTAGTGCTAAATTTCAGGGAAGTCCCCATTCCCCTGTTTTAAATTTGGCCCTAACACTAACCCTCCTGACTCTGTGCTGAGACACCAGACTACTTTTCATTTAACTACCTGCTCACCATTCTTGAACTTAATGTTTGTTTATCTAAATGGCAGGTACTCGGCCCAACGCGTCGCGCGTGGCATGTGTTCGACTATTAGGTTGTTTGACATTTAATCATTCATTCTCTTTTAACTTCTGCCTTCTCCTGATATCCATAGGCTAGGATTGACATTCGTGTCCTTTGCGTTCACAACAGCCCTAAACCTGATCCCGGCTCTAACCCTCTCTTGAAATCTAGCGCAAGATCATCTTTAATGTGACGGCGGTACTTATTCCCATACCCTTCTCAAAAGAGATCCTTCACACCCACTTGGGATATCCCAGTGGGGCTACCGAACAGTCATGCAATTGGTGTGGGTATGGCTGGTCGACGACGGCTTATAAGCGCAAATGATCATTCTAGTCCCCCATGTCCCTGTCCGTGATGCTAATTTGCATATATTACGCGCCGCTGTGCGGCTGATGGCGGGCCTCGAGATAGAGAGGGCTCCAAGGCACAAAGGGGAGGAGTGAGTTCCGTAACGCGCCCCCTCTGCCATTGTATATACCCGATCGAAACCGACAGGGCAACGGGCCCGTGGCCCAGTGGTTAAAGGCCTTGGACTTCCTAATAGCAGGTCCGGTGATCGAGCCTCGCGGGTTACATACCTCGGGATTAGACACGGCTGGCTGAAGACGGCAAATAAACAAGAATAGTCACTTCAGTCTCCCTTGTCTTTGTCTGTAACTTGTCTGTGTCGTAACTTGGGCAAATACGTCGAATCTCCGATTGTCGTCTCACTGTTAACATAAGTCGCCGCATTGCGACTTACGTTTACATTGTTGCTACTTATTGTTATTAAGTAGCATGAATTGTCGTTATTACAATCTCCGAACGTGTTGAAACCTAGAATGCATGTAGCATCTGACAGTTCGACCATCGTTTGTGACAATGTCCGCCTTGGGCTCCACAGCAGGGTAGGGGCAGAGGCGGTGACTCGCTCTTAAATTATTTCATGGCGATCATTTCTTTTTTTGAGCCCACATTTGCCCATTTTTACGAAGGTTTTTTCGACCATCATAAAGTCAGCCATTTATCGACAGCTATGTAGGCGACCGACTTTGTTGCTAGATCATTACTAGTACTTTGCTTGTCTTTTGCGCGGTCCTGATAATTAAAACAAGAATCGCGCAGTTATGCGGCTTTTGGAGGTCTTTTTATCTAAAGGAAATTTTCGGAATCTTGTATTACCACTCACTCAGAAGGTGCGTCATTGAGAAGTTTCTGCGAAAGGGGTTCCCTACTCTTACTTTCACCTTTTCTTTCTAATTATCCAATTTAATTGGATCCGATAAATGATTTCGTTTTGACGAAATTCACCCTTTATAACACGGGACACTTAAGTCAAAGATCATGCGATTGCGGTAACTAGAACACAACCAGACATTGTGGATCATGGGAATTCAAGGAAGGCTACCGTAGCATGCTTACGTAACACGACTGTCTAGGCGGGACTTACTCATACCTCTCAGGAGATTAACGTCCACGTTAGTAAGCTTAGAGGAGTGCCAACACGTTTGCGAGAATCCTTCGCGGTCAAAGAACTACGGAATACTTGGGGTGCTGTTTGGAGGGTTTCTTGTGTTTCGTCTACTTCTAGGCGAAGCACGTCGTGTCCGACCATCGCCTTGTTTTTGAAGTTGTTAGTTTTGAAATAATCATTCTCAACCGCTCTCGACATATTTTTTTCGTTTCGCCGAATTTATGATTCATAATACATGCTACCTAAGTCAGTTATTTGAAACGTCCGCGGTCGCGGCGGCTGTCATCCCTCCTCCTCTGCCTCTCCCCTTTTCCGCGTGTGTCGACGCACAAGATGGGAGCTCTATCGCGCTTTGTTCACTTATGGCATCTAATGCGCGGATTGCGATGGAAAAGAAGAAGTACACAGTTTTAATTCTCATGAGATACCTTGAAAACAAATAATTTGTGGAAATAAGAGTCATAGTAACTGTTAACTTGCAAAGTTTGAGTGTAATGGACTTATATCAGGCAGCGTGGCATTACTTCACGGCCTTATCTTCCTTTCTTTCGGGGCGTTTTAATAGTTTGTCAACCTGTTCGGACAGGAGCTTGATTTGCTGCTGATGCTGCTGTTGTTGCTGCTGTCGTCGTTGTTGGTTAGTGCGCTTTTGTTTTTGTTTGTGGTGGTGGTGATGATGATGATGGTTGCGATGAACATGGTGATAATCTAGGCCTTCCTGCTGTTTTGGGCGATTACGCTCCTCCCCCACCCATCCCTCCTCATCCTCCCGCTCCCCCGGGGCTGTTCTGAGCCAATCACCAGCTAGGAAACGGCCATCAGCTCCGGACACCGCCGCTCTTCTCTTTGATGGAGGAAAAGGTGATGAACTGCCATTGCAGACATGCCGGTAACCGCGGCTGCAATCCTGACAGTCAACCACTTCCCCAGCCTTGACTTCACTCCTTGCTCCATCCTTCTCCACCTTCTCCTCCTCCTCCTCCGTCCTCGTTCTTCTTGACTCCTCTCCTGGGACTTGTTTCTGGCATGGCGCCTCAGCGGACAGAACTGGCAGTTGGAGTGTTGATGAGGAGGCTGCTTCAGGCCCCCGGATTGGACCCAATTCCACCTTCACGTAGGCGTTGGTGGGTAGGCTGGCCAAGCTGCGGGAATGCACCAGCTCCCCGTCACGCAGTTGCCACTGAGCTGGAATTCGGTTGAGAGATGACTGCGACCGACAGTACTGGCAGTAGGCAACTTGTTGAGTGCCTCCATGCAGGGGGCCCCTCCGCAGCAGCCGATCGTAATCGTGACCGCTGAACTCCACACTCCTGGACGGCGGGCCGGTGACACCATGGTCCCTCATGAATTGAGCCAGCTCGTGGAGCTCCGAGCGCCGAAAGTGATGCCGTCCTCGACAGGCTGAGGATCGCTGGGTCTTGCCGCATTGCTTGCATGGAGTCTCCTTGGAGCGCTGACAACTGCTCGGGCAGGGCGGACATTTGGGCGTTCGAGAACGTCCAAACCGCTTTCTCCAGAAGGCGCCTATTCGACAGGCCTCCGAGGCTGATGATGAGGCGGAGTCATCGCGCCCTCCTTCGCGATGCTCCTTCTGTTTCACCTCCTTTTTAGTCTTCTTCAACCTCGTCTTTCGCTCTCCGCTGCAACTGTGCCGACAACAACGACTGCAGCTACTGCCAATGCTACTACAGCGGCTACTGCAGCTGCTGCTGCTGCCCTGACTGCTAAACTGACTGGTTTCCCTCAAAATGTCCCTCATCTTCTTCAGAGTGTTCTCATCCAAGCTGCTGGAGTTTCGTCTCGAGGAACGTGCCGAACATTGGACTGCCTCATCCTCAGTTGGGCGTTTCTTTCTGCGCTCCTTTTTCGCGTCTTCATCGGAGCTCTCATGCGTGTGCTCCACCTGCATGTAGGTCTCGTCGAATGCCAAGGGTGCCTTTTCCTGGTAGAGGTTCTGAATGGCAGACAGCCGCTTGTCCACTGCTGAACTACTGAAGGCCGGAGCGTCCGTGCCATGTGAGTTCTCCTCTATCGTCTTTTTTCTCCTCTCTTCCTCACTGTCGCTGTCATCTCCAGCGGAACTGGAGGCTCCAACATTCTTGTCACGGTATGTGTATTCGTGAAGGAGGTCCCTCAGTCTCTTTAGTGCTGTCTCATCCAGACCTGTTGTCCGGGCCTTCTTTTTGCTCTTTGGATGCTTCGAGGCGTCATGCCTGCAGGGTTTATTTGTCCTGCCATCGGGCGTCCTTCTGACATGTTTTTCATGAGATCTGTCATGGCTTGAATGTTGCGTGCCGGCGTACTTCGTGTGACAAGTGCAGACGTGATAGCAACGTTCAGGACATCGGCACCTCTGGGACTTGTCTGTGCTCGGCAGAACCACATCGAGTGCCCAGGGGGACACCAGAAGTACACGCCGATCCTCTTGAAGTCTCGAGCAACCCATAATTACCTTGCCATTGCGGTCCAGCTTTGCCGCCTCCAAATCCCCCTTCGCCCCACACGTGTGCTCATACGACAGGTCTGGGCACGACTTTTCCCGCCAAGTCAGGTTTTTTTGGGGACGAACTTTAGCACTCGCCTTGTCCTCCTTCTCTTTTTTGCATCCTCTGCAAAAAATGTTTTTTAGCTCATAATTCAAATTCGACTGCATGTTCTTGCACCATGTTGACCTCGATGGTGAGGATGGGCTTGACGTGTTAGACCTGATCCCATCCCGGCGCCTTCTCACACAGCTGTGATTGGAGCATTCACGTGAGCGTGACCCGCCATTTCCAGAGCACGTTGAGCAACCTCCACAGGGGCAGTCACCGCAAGCGCACACATCTACTTGAGCGGAATTTCGGTGATCGTTTTTATCGCTAGAGAGTTGTCGCCTTCTCCTGAGTGCGGTCTTATGTGGCGGCGTACACGGATGCGTGGTCGGCACTCGTTTTCTGGGCTCGGCCGTTTCGCTGTCAGAGGAGCTCGAGGTTTCGGATCTGCTCCGGAGGAACTTGTCTGGGCTTGTGGATGCCTCATCCTCCTCCCGTTCGAAGATGCTTTCTATATCAGACTCCGGCGAATTTTCACCTGAAGGGTGGTCACATATGTTGCTGCCGTTTTTCCTTGCCATGTCGAGAAGCCCTTTGGAAATGCACCGCCTCTCCTCGCCGTCTTCAGAGGAAGAATAATCCTTACCGCTTTCGGGAGGCTCCAGTCTATTCAGAGCTTTCTGCAGAAATTCTAGTCGTTTCCGGGGAGGAATGACGTCTAGATCCTCCAGACTTCTCTCTAAAGCCTTATCATGCTTCTTCGCCAGAAGTGATTTGATCCTTTTTTGGAGATCTTCTATCATTGCGGACTCTGCTGCCTGAGTTACCTCTCCGCTGGATGTCCCTTGGCCAGATGGCAGCGTTTTCGGCTCGGCCTCGCCTGCTTTCTCTGGGTCCCCTGACTGTGGAGCTTTGTCCTCCGCAGTATAATCTCCCAGACCTACCCAGGAGAGGAGTTTGCACACCGTACCATGGACGTGGGGCGGTTGACTCTCTGACGATGTAGGAGTTTTGGTGTCTGGCTGAACGTCTTCCTCCCCGACCGGTTTGGACACATGTGGAACCTCGTCTGCCGGCTCCGCGTCGTACCACAAAGCGCCGGCGTTTCCCCTTTTTCTCGAACTCAACTTCTTCTCCTCCTTCTCCTTCTCTCCTCTTTTTTCATAGCCTTCGACGTCAGAATGGATGGGGATTCGGGCTTTTGGACTTTTCTGGTCTTTCAGAAGCTTGTTCAGTTGCCGTAACTTCCGTCTCTGTTCACGGTCGAGTTGAAGGTTCGGACTGGCTTCCTTCTGCGCCATCGTCTCCTGCTCCTTCACGCGAGCATACTCCCTTTGGGCGGTCTGGTATGTCAGCTTAGTGCTCTGGGGCATTTTTTGATTGTTGTTTCCGCTGTTATCTCCTGATGCTGGCCCCCTAAAGCTAGGTCTATCCTCTCAGATGGACTGTGTACGGCTTTTAAACGAGAAGGTGACAATCACGGGGTACCAGTATGTCACTGTTGTGCTGTTTGGGGCTGTCTGATCAACGTGATTCGTTTGGAGGTGTGTGTGTGTGCGTGTTATCGCACTAGTCGTTTTCATTCTTCTCAAACGCACCCAGCAGTCTCGTGCCCGATGCAGAAAGCAAGTGATTTCGCATCGTAGCCCATTTTACGGAGTACTTTTGCCTTAGAATGAACGCAATAACTCGTGTTCCAAAAGTACATAGGTAGCTTACCTTCAAAGCGTTTGCGCGCCTCACGTCAAACCGATGGACTATATTTGAAGAGCGGCAACAATCTGATTCTTATTCAATGTTTGTACCCCCATCTGACATACTTACGCTTTTATCTATAAGAAGGCAGGGCCGGGGTCGCTGAAGGGGTGGCTATTGAATTCTTGGACTCTTGTTAGGATGGTTGCTTCTTACGTGGACGAAATTCCGTACAGTCTGTAAATCACGTCATCAGTAATTATTTTTCAATTTGATAGATCATTTAAAATCTGAAGCTAAGGCAGCAGCTCGATTTCTGCAGTCGGCTCTCGTGATCCGTCCCAGATCGTGAGCTTTCTCTCCGAGTGAACTGTCCATTTTCAGTAGTATATAATACCAGCGATCATTACTTCTGAATGAGGCTGCCGGCTGTTTTGTCCTTTCAGGCCTTCATCTAGTCACCTTTATTGCTCACGTGACACCGATAAAACTTCGGAATATGCAAAATAATGACGACAGGATTCGTTAGTGGCGCCGTCAAGGAATGCATGACGGTCTCCGATCTCAGATATGCAAGGATTGCCGTCTCCTCTTCTGGAGCAATCCCTTACTTGCAAAAAGACCTGACCGGATTGAACTTTAACCTCTTAAAATCAACTTACTTTACAGTTAACCTAGCCGTCTTCGCTCTAGAGACACGACAGCTAGGATGGATGAAGTTGAACTGTGGATGATTATGGATATCTGTACTTTCTAAGGGCCTCACTTATCGAGCAAAAACTCGTTGCTCTGACAACGAAACATGCTAACCTGAAGTGAATTATTAGTCAAAACAGATTTCCTAGAATGAGTGTCCTAGAGATTTCGTATATCAATACATGTGTCAAAAGGACTTTGAAGCAAAAGAAAGGAAGCTAGATAGTTCCTTTCAGACGCCTGAACCAAACATAACTAGCACACACTTCCTTGCATTAAGCATTTGTCCGAACCAGTTGAAAGACATCCGCAGAAGCACCAAATATACGTGGCGCACAAGTCGACGACTTTTCAACTAACGTGCATACTCCAAGGATACGTTTGGCTATTTAGATAAGGAAGAAGTCTACAAGATACGATGCGACAGCTTCGATGCCTTTTATTGTGGTCAAACTTAATGATCTGCGGTTACGTGCATATATGAAAATCAGTTGGCAGTAAAAAGACGAGACCACTTATCTCAAGTTGTTATGCATATGCTGGAAACTGGACATAAATTTACGTGGAACAAGATTCGCATGATAGATATTTATTCATCTAAGAACGGCCGAGACTTTTTTGGAGGCCACACATTTTGCCAACTTGTGTATCAATCGGCAGATCGAATTAGACGCCGTGTACAACAATTTCAATGAAAATGGAAGCGGTGACAGCTAGTCAGAACGTGACGTCAGGGTACAGTAAACGCTGGCTAGCAGGAGTGACAGCGTAATATCGATTTTTATGGCATATTTACATTTTAACTGTCCTGCACACTTTCTTCACGTTTAAGAATGTCGTGGGGAACCAGGGTCAAAAATTTACGAAATAAGTTTTGTTGCCTTTACCAAAAGACTGATTTCTTTTGAATTAAACTTCTTTGGGTGCCCATTTTCCATTTCATATATATATATTTGTTTGAAATCAAATACGTTCTTTGGGAAAGAGATAAAACTTTATTGAGTAAATTTTCGACGTCGGTTCCCCCTGTCGTCGTCAGACTAGAGTAAATGTGCAGAAAACAATTAAAATTTCAAACGTGCTGCAAAATCAATACCCATTTGGTGCCTCAGCCAGTAAGCTGCCGTCGTATGCGTCGGTCCATATTGATCGGCTTTCGTCTCTTCCACCTTCCTCTGAGATTTTTGTACGCGGCATCTAACTCGATATTCCTGTTGATGCATGATTCATCGGAGTGCATGTCTTCAAGAAACTCTCGGCCTTTCTTAAATGGCCAAACTCCGACGATGCAAGTTTTTTCCCATGCGAAAGTTTGCCCAGTATCAAGAGTGTGCATGGCCATTTGAGACAAGTGGCCTCGCCTCTTAACTGCAAGTTGATGTTCGTGAATGCGTGTAGAGGCAAATTTTCCCGTTTGGTCACAATATACGGTATCACAGGCAGCGCATGGGATCTTATAGACGACTTCTTTTCTATCGAGGTAGCCAACCCTTTCCTTAAGGTGTACTGACACAACTGAAGAGAAAACCATGCTCTCTGTCCTCTGAAGGAATGCCAGCAACTACAAGGTATAATACTTGCTTTAAAAGAGTAATGGCCAGATCAACCCGTATGCATATCAGGGAGGCTGATAATGACTATCTCGACCAAACTGATCCTATCAGTCTTCTTCAACATAGATCCTTCTCGGCAGGCTTCCTCGGACTTAATTCTAACCTCAAGGTCAGTCCTGTGATTGGAGCAAGAAGGAAATGCGTATTCAATGCCTCCATAAAGCTGAATGTTTTTTGCTTTCATACGTCGGACGATCTGCCTACCGATAGGCATGCAAAACGAATCGGTTTTAGACTTATTACTTCACCAGTTCCCCCTAGATTTTTTCACGTGGATCGCAGCAAACAGTCGATCTTGCCAGTTTCCCCTGGCTACTGCGACCACCGTCAGGATTATTGTCTTACTGGAACAATATTTTTATTGATCTGGCCTTTCGGATTCTCACTCGAACCGATCACCAAAGACAGTCGCAGATAAGGATAACGGAGGCGCAAGGACTGCATTATTTATTGTACGTAGCTGCCGTGGGACCATATGCGCACTATAATTAACAGCTCTCGCAATCACCACTGGGGCTCGTCGTTGAGGCGATGATGGCTGGTTAGTTCGCGTCCGAGTTGTTAATTGCCGCAGTTTCATTATCCGTGTTGGATGCTTACGTGATGATGACTCGGCAGTTTGGCCCGCGACCTCTCCACGTGACTGATTCCCCTGCTCAGGGAATGTCTCAGCACTGAACATGGTGTCGGGAGGTCATTGTGCTGGTTGACGGATTTCAGGCCTTAGAACCAAAGTACACCAATGACACGACGCCGAGGAAAACTGACTTTTAACTACACATGCTTATTCCACTTTTACGTTTTGTCCTTAACCCCTTCAGTTAATAATCATCTTCTGCGTGATTATCCACAATGTGTCATCCTTGAGTTCCAAATAAAAACGAATATTCTGGGCATACTCTAGCCCTGAGGTCAGATCGATTGACCAAATTTTAAAAAATGCTGAAATAAGACAGAGAACAGGCAACACACCGCTGACAGTGTGTAGCTTTCACCACCGCCACGGCGAGTATCAAGCCGAATGACTACGACCTCTTGGCATGAACGTCATAAACACACTCAAATAGGCCAATGAAATCAGGCCAAGAATTGGTTCCTGCATAGTAGCGGACCCTGAGCTACTTACAAGTCCACAGCCCGATCTACCTCTCTGGCGCCTTATGTGGCGTCTAAACAGTGGATGTATTCAGAGCACCACAATAATCAGCGTCTAGCCCCGTTTTAGCGGGGAAGCGGAAACGCACCTGATGGAGTAGTGTGTTCTATACAGAGAAAGAGTGTGGTTTCCAAAGTCGACGAAACGCGACTGATTCTAGGCCTGCAGGCGAGTCTGTAGGGGGGGGGGGTTGATATGGGCATTAATTCGTGTGTCATACAAGAGTCAATCGGCGTAAGCTTGCTCAGTTGATTGGGGCTTGCGGATTTTGGGGACTCCTGTGATTGGTCCTCCCTAAGGTTACGAGTGCATATTCCCTGGCAGCTCAGGAACGGTGATTGTATGATTTCTACCGTCGTCTTTGATGACGTCACCGTGTGCTGCAGAGCAAAGTGAAGCAGGCACGGTTATTTGAGCGTGAATTAGTTTACAATGAGAGTGCACTTTCGCTGCATCTACCACACTCCCTCCTCCTCCTCCCCCACCTTTACCCGCAGCAAAGACATACAGTGAGTAACCTATCTCATGAAATGTTGACTGAAATTCTGAAACTTCTTTTCGATTAGGAAGGATTACATAGGCGCGGTTGTAATACTGATTATCTTGCGGCATAATCGTATAGTATTTCGGAATTGGCAGGATGTCGGCTTTTAAACACACTGCTTTTTAATCTCCTGTACTCGGTAAAAAACGACTACTTAAGTAGCATGCATTTTTCCCATTGATTTTCGATGGTCTTGCAAATTCAAATATATCTTATAGAATTCATAAACGAAATCTCGTTTTCTTTCAGTCAGTTAATAGACAATCACGTCTTCTTTATATTTTTTATTTAAGGAGGGAGTATAATTAGGTTTTAAAAAAGTTTCTAATTATGAGGAAAATCTAAGGTGGAGGAGAAGGCAGGTGGCAGGCACCTAGGAGCCCGCACCTAGGGGCAGCGTAATAACCCTTCGTCCACAACAAACACTGGATCTGGATTTTAATCAACAGCAACCGCACCAGAACGGGGCAGAGGTGCGAGGATGACTGAGCAACCATGCTCACGGTCCGTACAACCAGAAGGAACGCAAACCTATTTACCGGCAAGGATCGGGTGACATAGGGCTGCCAGGCCCATTGTGTTTGCCAGATATAGGACGATTACACACGTTTGAGGTGTTACGCAGAATCTATTTAGAAAGGTTAAACTCCCCGCCGCCCTCCCTCACGT